CCAAATCTAACCGTGTATTTAGATTTTTAATTTTAAGTCCCGTTTTTTAAATTGGTCTACATTAAGGTCCAAAGGGTCCAAAATTAAACTTAGTTTGATTTTAGCAAAAATTGAATTCTTGGGGTTCTTTGATATGCTGAATCTAAACATGTGTTTAGATTTTTGATTATGGGCCCAGTTTTCAAGTTTGTCCAAGTTGGGGTCCAAAATTAAACTTTGTTTGATTTTAACAAAAATTGAATATATGGGGTTCTTTGATATGCTGAATCTAACCATGTATTTTGATTTTGGACATTGGACCATAATAGGTAAATTAAAAAAATTCAAGTTCTTAGACCACATTCTTTCTGTGTCAGAAACCTATGCTGTGTCAAATATTTAATAACAATCCAAATTCAGAGCTGTATCAAGCTTGAATGTTGTGTCCATACTTGCCCCAACTGTTCAGGGTTCGACCTCTGCGGTCGTATCAAGCTGCACCCCAGCGAAGCATTTTATTGGTTATTATCTTGAATATTATTATAGATAGAGATAAACTGTAAACACCAGTAATGTTCAGCAAAGTAAGATCTACAAAGAAGTTCTCATGACCAAAATTGTCAGTCGACCCCTTTTGAGAGTTATTGCTCTTAATAGTCAATTTTTAACAATTTTTCGTAAATTTTTGTAATCTTTTACAAAAATCTTCTTCTCTGAAACTATTGAGACAAATTTAACCATAATTGGCCATAATCATTATTAGGGTAATAAAAATATGTCCGATGACCCCGCCTTCCAACCATCATGGCCGACTTGGTTAAAAATAGACTTTAGGCATGATAGGGGTAAAATGCAGTTTTTGGTTTATATCTCTGAAACTAAATCATTTAGAGCAAATCTGACAGGTTGGAAAAATGTTCATCAGATTTAGATTTATCTGCACTGAAATTTTCAGACGAATCCGACAACCCGTTGTTTGGTTGCTGCCCCTGAGTTAGTAATTTTGCAAAAATTTTGCAGTTTTTTGTTATTATCTTAGATATCATTATAATATCTAATATCTAATACTATTAATTATGATTTTAACCTTATTTTACATGATTTCCAAAGCATCAGTAAATACAGGTGAGCGACACAGGCTCTTGAGAGCCTCTAGATTAAAACTTGTAAGCGGTCAAAATCTCCACCCCAAAACAATATATATTCTTGTATGGGACAATCCAACAAATCAAATGAAATACAAGGCGAGTCCCCTGGGGTCACCCCCACCCCCTCCTGTATAAACCATATATATTCTTGTATTGGACAATAACACAAATCAAATGAAATATAGGGGAAGTCCATGGGGGTCACACCCACCCCTTTTCGTTTTGAAAACTTGTAAACGGTCACGATCCACACCCTGAAACTATATATATTCTTGTATGGGAAAATAAAACAAATCAGATAAAAAATAAAAGGCGAGTCCCCTGGGGTCACCCCCACCCCCTCCTGTTTGAGAACTTGTAAATGGTCGAGATCCCCACCCCTAAACCATATATATTCTTGTATGCAATAAAACAAATCAAATGAAATATAGGGGAAGTCCATGGGGGTCACCCCCACCCCCCTTCTTTTTGATAACTTGTAAAACGGTCTAGATCCCCACCCCCCTTCTTTTTGATAACTTGTAAACGGTCAAGATCCCCATGTGGAAACCATATATATTCTTGTATGGGACCATAAAACAAATCAAATGAAATATAAGGCGAGTCCCCTGGGGTCACCCCCATCGCCTCCTGTTTAAGAACTTGTAAACCGTCAAGATCCCTACCCCTAAACCATATATATTCTTGTACAGGACAAAAAAACAAATCATATGAAATAAAGGGAGAGTCCCCTGGGGATCCCCCCCCTCTTTTTGAGAACTTGTAAACAGTCAAGATCTCCACCCCTAAACCATTTAAATTCCTGTTCGTAATTTCAAGAACTTGAAGAAGATTTGAATGACATACAGGGTCAATCCATACGTGTCACTTATGCATATCATAAACCAATTTGTACTGGACATTGCCCAATGTCAAGTGACAATGGGAATTACGAATTATTGGAGCTTTGTTTGGGAGACTTCGTAACAGCATTCTGTTACAATTATTTCTTGTTACTGATAAGTTTTATAGATTTTGAAATGACATTGTATTAATGATAAATAAAATTTTGGATTTTTTTCTTCTTTTCTTTGGTAAATTGTTTGTAGAATTTTGTGGCAAGTTTGTTTGTTATTCTGTAAAAACTAATTTTCTGAATGCTATATATATATTTTTTTTTTGATGAAGTAAACTTCTTTAAAAAGTAAGCTTATATTGTCTATTAATAAACATATATTTAGATGTCTGATTTTGGGCCCAGTTCTCAAGTTGGTCCAAATTGAGGTCCACAATTAAACTGTGTCTGATTTCAACATAAATTGAATATATAGAGCATAGGGTTCTTTGAAATTCTTAATCTAAACCTGTATTTCTTTTCATTATTAATAAGATAATACCACATTGAGGTCCAAAGGGTCCTAAATTACACTTTTGATTAATTTCATCAAACATTGAATTCTTTGGTTCTTTGATATGCTGATTCTAGCAATGTTTGAGTGTTAAATCATATCTAATTTTAGAGAACTTAGTCATCACTGGTAGTTGTTATTATATTATTGATTATAATTTGAAAAATTGCATCATACATATCTTATTTTAGAGAACTATTTATCCAGTTTGAGATATTTCCCTTTGCACAGAAAATATGGATAAAATAATGTCCATACTTGCTCAACTGTTTAGGGTTCGACCTCTGCAGGAAAATTCGGTTTGCTGTCACTCTGACAGCCTCTTGTTTTTATGATTCATTGGTCAATGTTAAGTTTTTATGGTTTGTTCTGATTCTTTGATACTTTTAAGTAATGGGTCAAATATATTTATGTATGAAATGATATTGTAAGGTGTCAGGCAGGTTTTATTGAACTTTGACCTTATTTTCATTAATCATTGATAACTATAAGTATAAGTGATACTTGTAAGTAAAACTTTTATCTTTATGACTTTCATCATAAAATCAATCATGGTCAGGAAGGTGTTTTAATATAATGAACTAACAGCATAAATATTTACTTTTACTTGTGTTTGTTATCATGCAGAAAATTAAGACTAATCTCCATAATTTATCACCCTTAGATATAATTGAGATTACTGCTAGTTCTATCTTTCTCACTTGTAGTTTGTATTGTTTGCCCATATTTGTAGCTTTTCCCATCAAATGGCATCTGTCATCTTTGTTAACTTTTATTTCTCTTCTGAAACTACTGGACCAAATTTAACCAAACTTTAACTCAATCATCATTTGGGTATTTAGTTTTAAAAAAATGTGTTTGATGATCCCCATCTGACAATCAAGATGACCGACATGGCTAAAAATAGAACTTCATATTTCTATTTGTATCAATCTGATGAGTTTAGCCTTTTTCAACTTTTTCAACATATAAAAGACACAAAAATTTAGCAGATTTGCTAACAATAAGTAGAATAAAAAAATAAGAAATATAAGACAATCACGGATTATGACGGGCCTTTATTTAATACTCATTAGATAATCTAAAAAATGCAGCAGAAACACTAGATTAGGGTAGGATTGATGCAAACAATTATAAATCTATCCAGTCAGATCCAGTATTTTACCAGAACATATTAATGGCCTCATGCATGAAATATTTCATTCAACAATTTATTGAAATAAAGGTTGACATGAATTATATAAGGATGTTGGTATTCGTTGATGTCGGATTCCATTTGAATTGAAAATGTGTAACCCAACTCTAACTAAGGGGTAAAATTGAAGGTCACATGAATGTGTATTCAGTGAGGTAAGATTATTGACTTGCTAGTCAATTATATCTCAGCAATGCTTTTAAGCTTATTTTGACAAAGATGGCCCAAATTGACTGCTTATAACGAAATGTTTTTTTGATACTTGAAACAAAAAGAATTGTATTTTAATTTTTTTTTTAAATCTTAGCTAATGTCGATTTAAATTCAATTTAATTTCAAGTCAAAGGCCAAGGACACAATATGACTTGTCACTTACTTGATAAGGCTTGTAGACACCATAGAGCTCCAGTCTGGTTTATAGCCAATTTTCATCCATTACTAAAGTTTGGGAATGATGAGAGGTTGAAATTAGAACCCTTTTTAACTCACCTGGCCCAGAGGGCCAAGTGAGTTTTTCTTATCACTTAGCGCACAGTGTCAGTCGTCGTCGTTGTTAACTTACAAAAATCTTCTCCTCTGAAACTACTGGGCCAAGTTAAACCAATCTTGGCCTAAATCATCCTTAGTTTAAAATATATATCTGATGACCCTGCCCATCTACCAAGATGGCCACCATGGCTTAAAAAAGAACATGGGGGTAAAATGCAGTTTAGGCTTTGATCTCTAGATCTGAAACTAAAGCATTTAAAGCAAATCTGACATGAGGTAAAAATGTTCATCAGGTCAAAATCTATCTGCCCTGAAAATATCAGACGAATCAGACAACCCGTTGCTGGGTTGCTGCCCCTGATTTGGTAATTTTAAGGAATTTTGCAATTTTTGGTTATTATCTTGAATATTATAATAGATAGAGATAAACTGTAAACAGCAAAAATGTTCTGCAAAGTAAAATCTACAAATAAATCAACATGACCAAAATTGTCAATTGACCCCTTCAGGAGTTATTGCCCTTTAAAGTCAATTTTTCACAATTTTTTGTAAATTTTTGTAATCTTTTACAAAAATCTTTTCCTTTCCAAAACACAGTAGATACAGATGAGCGACACAGGCTCTTGTGAGCCTGTAGTTAATGATAAAGTTAAAGTTTAAAGTCATCATCATTTTAAAAAAAAATCTGGGATTGCTAGCAGATATTCCACTTTGCAATTCTCTTATTTTACTGTCTCCAATTAAGTTATTTCATGTCCATAATAATGGGATTTTTATATACATAATATGTATTTCTTACAGGTCAAAGGACTCAGACAATAGCTTTAACAATTGACATATCTTACAAAATTGTGCTCACATGTACTGCTACATTAAAAGATACTATAAAGAACAATTTGGAGGGGAAGTTAAAGCAAGATCTTGCTATCAAATGGTCTGGATTAGATTGGTGTAGTAGTCAGTGTGTTTGGGATGCTGTATGTAGTGATAGGAGCATGTATATAGATGTTACTGTTACCCTGCCTGAGCTAGAGTAAGTATACAAAATTTTTAGACCAGTAAGGCTGTAACAATTTTAAGTTTAACTATTTAACACGAACAATGACAAAAGTCGATAAAAATCTCCCAGTTTTGAGGCCCAAACTCCAGCTGAAAATTTTCAAATCCCCAGTTGTGACAAGACAACTCTGTCACATGTATGTATGTCCATTGTCCTTGACCTCATTTTCATGGTTCAGCAACTGCTAAAAACAAAATTATAGTTTATTTTCTCTGTGAATTTCTCACTCATTATGTGTAAAAGGATAAATATATTTGGCATATGTGTTCCTTACAAGGTTTTCATGTCTGTCAGATAGGGTTATCTGACCTCAACCTTCTTTCATTGATCAGTGATCAGGGTTAAATCTACATAATTAGGGCCATTTCTTGGATACTAAATGCAATAGGTCAATTATATGTGGTGTAGTGAATGATTAAAAGGTGAACATGTGTATCTGACAGGTTCCCTCGTCTGACCCTGACCTATATTTCATGGTTCATTGGTTTTTGTAAAGTTTCTCAATAGTTTGGTCCTCTCTTGAAAAATAGGTCAACTTTATTTAGTTCTCAGAATAATTGTAAGGTGTACATGTCTGTCTGGCAGGTTTTTTAATTACTTTACTCATGGATTTTTCTAGCATTCCACAGAGTCTGGTATTCAGACTCATTCCCAATGGCAAAAACCCGACATTGTTCCCAATTTATGGAGCAAACGATCTCAAAATTCATTTTCATCTTTATTATTCATGACAGAGATGTTCATTTTGTTCAATGGATGGCTTTATGGTGAAAATCACCAACATGTAATGTGTAAATCCGAGTAAAAACGTATCTGACTGACAAAAACAACATTGACAATTAAACAATGGCTGTTAATAATTAAACCAGAAATGTAGACAATTACAAATACTGGATCAAATTCTGGGAGCAGATAAGGCTAATTCTGGGTTTGCTGATCAAATACAATAAATTAATGTTGATTTTAGATGTTTTTATAATGTAAACATATAACTACAGATCCAAAAGGTAATTTCTTCTCAATTTTGATGGGCCAGTAAAAATCTGGAAGTGCAAGTGAATTTAAAAAAGTGTTAGCCTGCTTTGCCAGTTAAAATACATCTTATTTCTATCCCTGAAGTATTTATTATATTTATTATATTAACCATGTGAATTGTTACTGTCTTTGATGCTAAAAAGGCGGTAAATTTTTATCACATGTGTGCTATAAGAAAGATATTTTGATTCTGTGTGCCTTGTTGTTCAGTTTAAAAACAAAAAGAGCAGAAAATAAAATTATAGATGGTAATCATGTAGTTTCTTCCTTCATTTTCAGAAAAAAAAACATAATTTTTAATGAACTAAACACACTAAAACTCACATCTGGTATATTTGTTGTATTTTTCCCAATTTTATTGAAAATAGCGTAAAAAATTTACAGTACTGGCCAGGGTCCTTTTTCCCAAAATACCCAGAAAAAAACCCTGTTACTCATTGCCATGGGTCATTGATAATTTTTGTTTATGTGATGCTTGTAGTAATTTTTTTATCTTAAAGACTTTCAATATAAAATCAATCATGGTTAGTAAAGCAGACGAGTCCTTTCAGCATGACAGTCACCGTACACTGTTGTATTAAAGACGATCTTGAGAAATTTGTTTAGATGAATTTCAATTTACCTTTCCTTTTGGAACTTATATCTGTCCCATAGTACACTGTCTACTTTTGTCATTATTAAAAACTGCAGAAATGCTTTTGTAAGCTGACTGAGCAGTATGAGTTTTGCTAAATATTAAAAGCTGTATGGTGACCTATAGTTATTAATTTCTTTGTCATTTGGTCTCTTGTGCAGAGTTTTCTAATTGGCAATCAAACCACATCTTCTTATTTTTATATTTTGTAAAATCACTTTATTTATATTTATGAAATCATCCTACAATAATTCTGGTATTGCTACTTTTAACATCAATAATAGGGACACATATAGAAAGCTGTCTTTTCTTGGACAAGATTTTATGAATAAAATGTAATAAAATCTTAGACAATTGTAAATTGTAAAACAAACAATTAATTAGTTGCCTTTGTCCATATAAATAAGAAGATGTGGTACGAGTGCCAATGAGACAACTCTCCATCCAAGTCACAATGTATAAAAAGTAAACAATTATAGGTCAAAGTACGGCCTTCAACAAGGAGCCTTGACTCACACTAAACAGCAAGCTTTAAAAGAATTAAGGGCCTTAAAATGACCAGTGTAAAGCAATTCAATAAGAAAAACCAACGGTCTAATCTATATAAAAAAAGAGAAACACATATGAACCACACCAACAAACAAAAACCACTGAACAACAGGCTCCTGACTAATTAGGACAGGTCCATAAAAATGCAGAGGGTTTAAATGTTTTAACAGAAGCCAACCTTCACCCTAACCTGAGACATGCTTGTAATTGAAGTTTTAATGATCTCTTTAACCTAGAACAACCAAGTGAGGATTTAACATTTTTGATGAGTCTATGTTTTGTTTCATTATTATTCAAACAGAGATCCACTAATTTGCATATCTGAAACCTTTTTTTTTAGCGCACCTGGCCTGACAAATTTTACCATTATTTTTCATTTTTGCCTATTATCTTGAAAACTATGACAGATAGAGAGAGACACTTTAAAGTGTGAAAATGATTGACAAGTCATACAAAGAAGTGACTTGATCGAAATTGTCAGTCGCTTCCTTACAAGAGTTATTGCCCTTTGATAAAGATTTTAACCAATTTTTTGCGATTTTGCCTTATATCTTAAAAATTATAATAGAAAAATAGAAACTTAGATAAGCAAAAATGATCAGCAAGACATTATCTACAAGTAAGACGATTTAGACTCCTTTTTGGAGTTAGTAAGGTTTAAAACCATTTTTTTTGTGTTTTGCCTTATTGCCTTATATGATAAAAATTATAATAGATAAGTAGACACTTAAATCACAAAAACCATAAGCAAGGCAAGATCTACTAACAAGTCAAATTTAGCTGATAAAGTTAGTGTACTGTCACTATTTATAGGAGTGATTGCCCTTAAATGAGGAATTTTTTACCCTCTTTTGTGTTTTGAGCAAAAACTAAAGAAGATAGAGAGAAACCAAACAGACCAAATTATAATAATGCAAGATGAACAAAATTGATTTTTGTCATGAATTCTATTGTCGTCTACTATGTTGGAGAGTGTCCTTTGTTAAATATGCACATAGACCAAGGTGAGCCACACAGGCTCTTTAGAACCTCTAGTTTATTTTTCAAACAGATATCCATGAAATGTCTTTTTCTCCATCCACGAAAATTGAAACCGATAAAAATAAATAATACAGTATATTATGCAATGTTATCAACAAGCAAATATATAATGAAAGAATTACTTAACCAAAGTTTCAAAATGTATGATACAAGTTAAAATGCTGAATTTTTCTTCGCAGTCAAACAATAATTAGAAATGGCCTAACATACAAAGTAAAAGATGCTATATTGATTTTCATACTGCAGGAAGATGGACTCAATTTTAAGGTAAGTTGTATTTCAATTTTTTAATAGCAGTGAAGTAAGTGACATTTGAATTTTACGAGTCTAAAGATTTGTCCGCTATACTGATAAAATATATGAGAAGATCATCAGCCGTATCATGCTAACAACTGGTTTTAGAATAAATGTGTTTATGTCCCATGTAAAGACCCTATGAGTAAATCAGTATTAATTTCAAAAACTGCCATCTTTAATGACCTGACAACAGTATCGTAACAATATCCCTTCTGAATAAGTCTTTTTAGCTCACCTGACCTGAAAGGTCAAGTGAGCTTTTCTCATCACTTTGCGGCCGTCTGTCGTCCATAAACTTTTACAAAAATCTTCTCCTCTGAAACTACGGGGCCAAATTTGACCAAACTTGGCCACAATCATCATTGGGGTATCTAGTTTAAAAAATGTGTCCGGTGACCCGGCCAACCAACCAAGATGGCCGCCATGGCTAAAAATAGAACATAGGGGTAAAATGTAGATTTTGGCTTATATCTCTGAAACCAAAGCATTTAGAGCAAATCTGACATCAGGTAAAATTGTTTATTAGGTCAAGATCTATCTGCCCTGAAATTTTCAGATGAATCGAACAACCTGTTGTTGGGTTGCTGCCCCCGAATTGGTAATTTTAAGGAAATTTTGCCGTTTTTGGTTATCATCTTGAATATTATTATAGATAGAGATAAACTGTAAACAGCAATAATGTTCAGCAAAGTAAGATCTACAAATAAGTCAACTTGACCAAAATGGTCAGTTGACCCCTTAAGGAGTTATTGCCCTTTATAGTCAATTTTTAACCATTTTTCGTAAATTTTTGTAATCTTTTTACAAAAATCTTCTCCTCTGAAACTACTACGACAAATTTAACCAAACTTGTCCACAATCATCATTAGGGTATCTTGTTTAAAAAAATGTGTCCGATGACCCCGCCCTCGAACCAAGATGGCCGACATGGCTAAAAAATAGTACATAGGGTAAAATGCAGTTTTTGGCTCATATCTCTGAAACCAAAGCATTTAGAGCAAATCTGATGGTATAAAATTGTTCATTAGGTCAAGATCTATCTGCCCTGAAAATTTCTTACCAATCAGGCAACTCGCTGTTGGGTTGCTGCCCCTGAATTGGTAATTTTAAGGAAATTTTGCCGTTTTTGGTTATTATCTTGAATATTATTATAGATAGAGATAAACTGTAAACAGCAATAATGTTCAGCAAAGTAAGATCTACAAATAAGTCAACTTGACCAAAATTGTCAGTTGACCCCTTAAGGAGTTATTGCCCTTTATAGTCAATTTTTAACCATTTTTCGTAAATTTTTGTAATTTTTTACAAAAATCTTCTCCTCTGAAACTACTAAGACAAATTTAACCAAACTTGTCCACAATCATCATTAGGGTATCTAGTTTAAAAAATGTGTCCGATGACCCCGCCCGCGAACTAAGATGGCCGACATGGCTAAAAAATAGTACATAGGGTAAAATGCAGTTTTTGGCTCATATCTCTGAAACCAAAGCATTTAGAGCAAATCTGACATGGGGGTAAAATTGTTCATTAGGTCAAGATCTATCTGCCCTGAAATTTTCAGACCAATCAGGCAACACATTGTTGGGTTGCTGCCCCTGAATTGGTAATTTTAAGAAAATTTTGCAGCTTTTGGTTATTATCTTGAATATTATTATAGATAGAGATAAACTGTAAACAGCAATAATGTACAGCAAAGTTAGATCTACAAATAAGGCAACATGACCAAAATTGTCAATTGACCCCTTAAGGAGTTAGTGCCCTTTATAGTCAATTTTTTACAATTTTCATAAATTTTGTAAATTTTTGTAAATTTTTACAAAGTATTTTCCACTGTATCTACCGGGCCAAGTTTATTATAGATAGAGATAATAGTAAGGAGCAAGAATGTTCAGTAAAGTAAGATCTACAAACACATCACCATCACCAAAACACATCACCATCACCAAAACACAATTTTGTCATGAATCCATCTGTGTCCTTTGTTTAATATGCACATAGACCAAGGTGAGCGACACAGGCTCTTTAGAGCCTCTAGTTTAAGGTTTGGTTAGCTTTTGACGTGAATGACAACATTTTTATGCTTTGTATAGGATATTACCATAAAAGATGGGACGTGAAATACCTGAACGAATAAGATGTCTGCACGCTGATTTATCTTTATGAATGATGTCCTTGTACCGATGATAAAATTAATAAATGTCTTGACAAGTTTGATATCAAATCCCTGGTGTAATAATTATTCAGTAATGCAGAGATTTCTTTTGTTAAAATCCATTATGTTGCGAATCAAACAAGTTGACAAAATATAAACACCATAAGATGGTTCCAAGTGAACATCACCATCTAAGAATGATAATTAACAATAGGAAGTGAGAAATCATCTCTTTTATGGTAAGTTTTTTTTACAATTAAGCTTTATGTAAGAGATATAGATATCAAGATCCAGGAAATAACAGTTTTCGTTGTCAATATTAGCTTTAAGTCAGTTCAGCAGGATAAATCTTTTATAGTGTAGATACTGAAGTAGTCATTATTGAGAGCCAAAATATCATCCAAATATCTAAAAGTGTTATTAAATTTTTGTATATAATGTTAATGTTTCGATGGATCTTCGCTTATTCAAGTCATAAATTGTGACTTGTAACATCACAGAAACAGGTCCACAATAAGTGGTGCACAGTTAGGAATACTGATTACTTGATGATATAAGGAATCTCTGTAGGGAATAAAAATGTTGTCTAGTAAAAATTCAAGTGCAGTTTTCGTATCAAAACAGGTTCAATTGACATAGTTGTTTTGTTTGTTGTTACTAGATTTAATTAGATGTGTGAATTTTTATATGCCTGTTTACAGGACGTATTATGGTATACCATTGTCTGTCTGTTTGTCTGTCTGTCTGTGTGTCCGTCCGTCATCAACATGTTGAACAAAAACTGAAAAACCTTTAAACTAATTTGCATGAAACTTTTGTGAATTGTTTATATCTATTGAGGTGAGTTCCCTTTAGATTTTCATAAATTTTAGATTTGACATTTCCGAGTTGTGGGGTGTTATTCATTAAAAAAAAGGGAGATTTTCCAATTTTCAGACAATAACTCAAACATGCTTTATGCAGTTTTCATGAAATTTTGGTGACTGCATGGTTTATATCTATTAAAATAACCTCCCGTTAGTTTTTTTTTATAAATATCTGATAGACATTGAGGAGTTATGGAACATTATTCTTTGAATAAATGACGGGCATATCATGCTCTCATGGCGCAGCTTTTTATTTCTTGATGAGATGATGAGGTATAGGGTAAAAAAATCAAAACATTGAATAGATCCTAAATCACCAATATGAGCATGCAATATATCAAGAACTTCCGAAGAATTTTTGACACTACAAAAGTAATTAATTCTACTATTTTCAAAGGCCTTATACAATTGATTACCAGGGTTTTTATTGTACCAAGTGTCTAGTAAGTAGAATAGACAGTTTAGTAGTGGAACAATGGCTTGAAGAAGAAATAAATTATATTTGTAAGGTGTTTTGTGCAGTAATATGAATATCAACTATGGTCATTACTGAATTAAAAAAAGAATCTAAAGGATTTTTTGTCAACTTTTTTTCGTGTTATCCATTTCATACATTAAGTACAAAGTGAGTCGTGGATGCTGTTAAGACACACATTCCAATTAATAATTGGTGGGGAATGATAGTTAGTTCCTTAACTAAGGAATGATTTCAACTATTGGTCCCAGACAATATTAAGGTCTCCTGTTATAACATAGGAACTGGGGCCATAATCAGAAATTGAGCCTACAACTGGTCTCTTTCAAAATTCTTTTCAAGAGCCTCACTTTTTTAACAAGTTACTTACATGAAGGTGCATGATATATTTGCTACTGGACATTAAACATAAAATAAATAATTCTATAACATGCAGGATGTTGGCTCTCTTCTTGTTGCATTTGATTCCATATTCTAATTGAATATAATTTGCATCTGCATGTTGCATATGTGGCTCTAAATTAAACGTATTTTGTTTCAGAGTGTTGGAGGTGCAGAGCTTGAAGAGGATTCAGTTACTGTAGATGAAAATCCTTCCTGTCCTTCTGGCTACACTGTTGTTGGTGATACTTGTGGTAAGTCTTAACAGTGGGAAAAACTAACTGGTTCTGGTTAATTGTCCCTTAAAGAACAATGATATGTATAGACATTTATAGCAATTTTTTCATCTTAGAAATAAAGATGAATTGAAGTTTTATACTTAACTGTTAGGATTGTAAGTATGCTTTATTTTATCACCTTGCACTTTGATGACTTTACTGCAGTTTGTTAAAATATCTGATAAAATGAACAGTTTTGATAAAACAAATTGCAATTTGGTAAGAATTTTGAATGAACTGCAATAGGTGGCACTAAGTAGCACTTGCAATCAAGTCACACTGATAAGCGTTACCATTATTATAGGACAGATACAACTTTTATGTATCATCCTATTTTATTTTAAAAATCTTGATAGCTACTTAATATCAAATCCATATCTTTATGATATTTGTATAGTAAATGAACTTAATAACCCAATTACTAAGGTCAATATTCTTTCGTATTTCAGAAATTAATATTTTCAATTGATATGAATACAAATATGGCTGTTTAAATTGAGTTTTCCATTGCCTGTTGATTTAACTGGTCTGAAAAGGAGCATAAACTATACTTTAAGAGCAGTTTGTAGATTCTGATAAATGTTGTTTCTTTTAGTGTGAATCATGTTCTTTTTTTTTTTAAAGTTATGTGTGGAAAAGGAACATATAGAAATGACACAACAATGTCGTGTGAATTCTGTCCGATTGGATCATATCAACCTGATGTGGGACAATCATCTTGTACTCCATGTCAAGCTACTAAGACTACACTTACCTATGGATCATATTCATCCTTTGATTGTATAGGTAAGTTTCTTTGATTATATTTATGATTTGTATTTGTTGGAACTTTAGAAACATAAAGAAAAGCAGTTATCCTTGCCATGATTTTTCTCCTGTTCAGTAGTAATTAAAAGGTCATACTTTTTCATAAATTATTTTAAAGCCAAATCTTATTACATTTTTACATCGCGATGACCTTGAGGTCATCCCGATGTATTGCTATCGCCTAGATTTCCATTATGTAAATTAGTTTTGGGTTTGTAACCGATCTATAAACATGATGAATATGCGCACATAAACGAGTGCAAAATAACATTCCTTGTCATTTGATATAAATACATCTCTTCAATGAATACTGATAAAAATATTTTTGTTTACAACATAAATTAATAATGTGAAAATGTTTTGTAGTTAGATATATATATATAAGTAAAAAATCATTGATAATATCAATGCACACGTACCGAAAAATTGTGTTAAAGCATGCGGAAGAATATCTCAAAGAACGTTTTGCGACAGGACCGGTAACTCTGTAATTGTTTTTGCGGGAAAATATGAATGCCTACTCGTATCCAATCTTAGAAAAATCGAATTTTTACAGAAAAGTGTCCACCATGCACTTGCATTGCACTATTATTAGAACAGTAAAATAGAATGATATACAAACGGATGCAAATCATATATATATGTAACTGTTATTTTAATATAGTATATAACAACAAATCAGTGTATACTGATTTGTATCACTACAATATAATAGTTATTACGGTGAAGTTGAATTTCCTGTCATTTATTCATCATACTCGCACGCACTTGTCTAGAAAAAAATATATCTCTGTACATTAACCTCAGTTTCAGGTAAAGAGATATGTTGTTTTTTTTCTGAGACAAGTGCTTTTGACCATCCTCAAGAACTTGTGGTCATCCGATGTTCAGTACTTCAGTACTTTGATTTACAATTTTCATCAAATGACAAATATGTAAGATCACTCTGATCTACCAGGAATTAAATATTAAATAAGCATGAGAGTATACATTGTTTTATTTTGATTTATTATATTTCTTCAGATGACTGTCCACCTGGTCAGTATTATGATGCGGGTACTTCTAATTGTGCACAATGTGAACGACATCACTATCAGCACATGAGTGGACAGGAATTTTGCTATCCATGCCCTCTAGGGAAGAAAACTAGTGAGAAAGGATCCAATTCCTCTGAAAGCTGCTATCGTATGTATAGTTTATAGTTAAAGCCAGTTCACTACATATTTTCTACTATGTGAAAGTCTTTCAGATTACACCCCTAAGTAAGACAGTGCATTACATTTGCACATAAAAATCATTACATTTGAGCACAGTTTTTGATTACCATTGCACACATTCATTTTACAGGTAAACACAGGTAAATTTAGGAAAAAACATCATTGGTTTATTTAACTGTTTACAATTACCCCTTCTGTTAGTCTAAGTGCCATTCTCACTTACATGAAGATGGAAGTGGGGTTTTGAGCAGGATAAGTCTGTTTTATTATGCATAACCACCAAGGCCTGGAAATGCAAATCAAAAGAGTAAAAGTACCGATTTTAAATGTTTTTGGTACATGCTAAATATTTGAAGCCCACTGCTTTAAGAACATGAATTCGGTCATTCAACTTCTCACTTCTTATATTTCGGAATTGCTCCATCAGACACTATTTTCTCTTTCTCACTTTTAGGTAAAACTGGTAGTATGAATTTTAAAATAGTTTCAATAAAGACAAAAATATGTAGATGAGCTGAATAAAATGTCCCATTGTAGTGAGCATGGAATGATTCAGGTCCATACATGTATGTGTGTAGATACTCAATATGAAAAATGTTTAATTTAGAATTATAAATGTGTTCAAAATTATTAATTATGGACATATATTATGAATTATCTTTATATTTACCTGTGTTACCTGTAAAATGAATGCACGCAATCAAAAGCTGCACACAAACATCATTTATGCCATGAATCTAGTATGAATTGACAGTTTGAAAAAAGGACCCTAAATTACAAGTCATTTCAAAATTACCGAAATTGTGTGAAAAAATTGTGGATCCTTGGGATGAAGTATACTGGTTTGCCTTACCTCTGTCAGCAACGCATTCCTGTCTCACTTTCTCAACTATTACAAATCAGTGCAGCTTGATATTTGGTGCAAAGCTTTATATTGGTAAGCTATACACAATTCTTTTCAAAAATTTGTTTAAAGGTTTCCAGTCATCAAAGGCTTGGAGTAGTTATATTTTTAGAAAAAATCTTAAATAAGGGACCTATTTGGGGGAAGGGTGTGTGTAAAAATATCTCGTATTAATTATTTCACAGAACAAGCATTTTTCATTTAGATTATCTTCACATTTGGAGAATAAGTGAAAATCTGAAATTGGGATTTTTTACTGGGGAGAGGACCTAAATAGGTTGTGAACCTTCCATAATGAAGTTGTTTAAAAACTTTTTTCCATATATTCAGATGTTCAGTATGCACCAGTCTGAAATGATTTAGAACATTCTGCGCAAAGCTCCATTTGAGTCTCTGATCCATATTTTGTATTAATATCTTCCACAGTGCATGGGACATAAAAATAGCAGGTGTGCATCTTTGCGTCATTGGTCTGCTCTCACAGATACAATTCTTTTCAGATTTTTACTTAATTTATGGTATGAATTAGTAATGTCTCAGACAAGTTCCAAAATCATTGCCAATCAACAATCTTAAAGGAATAATGTCCCTTTGAAATGTAAATGTTATGCGAAATTGCATAGTACAGTACTTGCAACCTTAAGCTTTACTGTTTGACGTGAACTTGACTGATCTGTGATCAATACAATGAAGCTTATTTGACGTATCTGACGAACTCTAATTGACAGTTACCGTGACAACCATCAGCGATTGATCAGTCATAAAATTATATGCACAGATCGGTCAGATATATGTATAAGTAAAATTCTTACGTGAAACGAACACTGCAGTATTTACATGCGATAAAAGTGAACCTAGACAAAGACTGTGGACCTTTAACTGATTATGATAATTTGTATTCAACTTGGTCGCAATGACATATGAATAAAAAAATATATATTACTTTTAACATATTATGTGATTATTTCAGTATTGGTTCTTTTATTTTTTATTTTTCTGCTAAATGAATTACTGCACTGTAATAATTAACATGCTCAGAATGTTTCTAGATCACTTCTGAGACAACTATAACACATATGTTATAGTCTCTGATCACTTAAAAGCGAAAAAATGATATCATTTTAAATAAGTACTCTTTTTAGCAATCATATATTTTAATGCCACTAGATGAGGTAGTTTTCATTAAAGATAAATAATATAACTGTACTTTTGAACTTTAATTGTTTGAATTAAGAGTGTAATTTCTACTTCAATTTAATGGAAATCACATAGTTATTGATTTTTAATACTTTTGGAACATCAGTATGGGGTGTTTTTCATAAAATATAATGAAAATAAGAGAAATGGAACTAAAATTTTGTTTGCATATGTGTTTTAATAAAATGACAATTTTTCTTATTTTTATGAAAATTAATGCACTGTTGAGAGCAATCAGTATTTTTTTAAATGACTCTGGATGAATTGTTTTTTGATTAAATGTGAATAATATAGGAAATGGTAAAATAAAGATTCTTAAACTTTTGTTTATGCTTACAAAAAGTGCCTTTATTTCTTTATTTTGACAGAAGTAATGAACGGTCATTTGGTATTGTTACTTTTAATTTTTGATCATTGACTTATTAATGACTGCTGAATGATTGCTAAAATAGTAACGCCTAAGTTTGCAAGTACTATAAGTGCTCTCAATATAAAAATAAGAAGATTTGGTATGACTGCCAATGAAACAGCTCTCCACAAGAGACCAAATGACACAGAAATTAACAGCTATAGGTCACTGTACGGCCTTCAACAATGAGCAAAGCCCATACTGCATAGTCAGCTGTAAACAGTCCCCAAAATGACAAATGTAAAACAATTCAACGAGAAAACTAACGATTTAATTTATGTACAAATAAATGAACGATAAACAAATATGTTAAACAGCAACAAATGACAACCACTGAATTACAAGCTCCTGACTTTGGACAAGCACATACAGAATGCCTACATTTCTTGTCAGATTTTTATGAAATTTATACCAAAGGTGTATATAAGCTAGCTGGGTCTTGGGGGTGTTTGCTAGTGAAGTTTTGCCTTTTGAAAAAAATAATCATATGGAGAAACCATTGTAGATAATCTCACGCCTGCATTTCTGGTTGGATATTTATGAAAAAGTTCAAAAGAACAAAAAATATATTAACCAAGAAATTATTTGAATCTGGAATAATTTTGAATTCTGGAAAATTGATAAGCAATGTATGATAAAAACTAACCCAACTTTAGTGGGTTAGCCATGCACTCATAGCTAAGGTTCAAGTAACTTTCATTGTTATTTCAGTATGACATAGCTAGCCCTCCTTAGCCATGTATGCATGACTAAACCTCTATAATTGGGTTAGTTTTCATCATGCATTTCATATCAATATTCCAGAATTCAAAATTTTTCCAGATTCCAATTTATATATTTCCCTGTGACAGATGAAATAAATGCTTTAGTAGGGGACATTGGAGAGCTGTTCGTGTTTGAATTTTTTTAGACAGTTCTACCTTTTTCACAATAAATATTAACAACAATTTGTCTGATTTCTAGTTTAATAGACCAGTGTTGTACTGAGGTCATTGTTAAAATTGGGCAAAGATCCAAGCTAGCTATACAGACTCTCCTCTAGTTTATTGAACATACGAATAAAAAGTGAAAAAGGTCAGATTGATTAAATGCAAAAAATATATGTGAACAAAAGAGGAATGAACAGAAGAACCAAATCATACTGTTTCTAAAAACATTAAAAAACATTTCTTCAGTATAAATCAGCAAAGAATTAGAGGTGACATAATTCTTTTCTTTCTCAGAGGATTGTGAGGCTGGAACTGAACTACAACCAGATGGATCCTGTAAAGTATGTGAAAGAGGCTACTACAGGACACAGGAAGATGATGAGTGCAAAAGTTGTCAGGATGTAAACCAAGGAATGATGACAACAGAAGGAAAGAAATCGGCCTCAGTATCTGACTGCAGAATAAGTAAGTTTATAAAGTGAACCTTTTATATTGAAGTTTTTCATTATGCCCCTGCATCAAAATTTGGATATGTTTACCCCTTTCTGTCCTTCAATCAATCAGTCCCACAAAGGGTACATGGTTTCATGGGTTATCCAGCTAGCTCTTCCTTCAGTTTTCAAGCTTGAACTTTATTATTTTGCAGATTGTTAGTACATATACTGAAGGATGATCATATCATCATTTGATTTTCTTTAAATTTTGCACAAATAAGATGCTGAACTGTCATATTTTTGTTAAAATTATGCAGGGTTGGTACATATTTTTCTACCTAACTTCTCCTACAGTTTTCTAAGTATAACCTTTATATTATGTTGTTATATTATGCAGGCTGCTAGTTCATATGTACTAAGAGTGTGTACATTGTCAGGATTTAGATTTCCATTAATTTTACACAAATGACAAGATGTTGTACTTTGCCATTTTTTGTGATATTATGCAAAGTGGGTTCATGGTTTGTCCAGCTAACTCCTACAGTTTTCTATCTAGAAACTTCATATTATGCAGGCTGTTAGTACATATGCCCCAGTAACAACAAAATGGAACTATTTTGAATAGATAGATTATTAAGACACAATACGTTTTGGAATGCTGTACATAAGTTATGCAGGGGCCCTGACGTGTTAAGATTATTATCCAATCAGCAAGGGGGTTTCCCAGTCACTTCTGCATGTGCTTCTCGTTTACTAATTGTTTTGCAAGATCATACTAATTAACCAATGAGATTGCTCATTAATTTTGAATTAAGCAATCAGCACGTATTTAGCAGGGCTTTTGTTTTAGACGCGCACACTTAATTATTCTTAAAGCAGTAACAGGTATAAAACCACTAATTCATAGCCCCATTGCATTCTATGTTAAATTCTGCAATTTCAAGCATAAATGGCTACTTTTTCTTAAGTTCAAATAAAGTGGCAGTTATTTCATGTCAAAACTGTACCTTATGCTGACTTGTGCTGAAAAAATCAACATACCTTTAATTGCATATTAGAGCGTACTGGTTCCCGGAAGTTTGATAGTACAAAAACAGGAACTTTTGATCTGATCAACAGGCCAAATGAGCCCTCCTATTAAAATGTCATATACTTCTTTATTATTCAAATAAAACTTTCAACAAGGGTTCTACAGTGATCCCAGTCCCCAACCTTTCATTTGATACTAAAACTACCCAAATATTCCCACTATTGACAAAGATACAGCTATGCGTAGGAACTATTTTGTTTAAAATATGTACTACTTTCTTGTATGTTCTTTCCGACCGGGCCTGAATTAGTGGTTCTATACCTAACAACAAAATCCATAGGTTTACCTTTGTCATTCATTACACATGGTGTAAAATGCATTTTTTTATAACTTTTCATCTGATAAAAAAAATCATTATATACATGATATACTTAATAGAAAATACAAGTAAATTTTATGTGTAATATAATCAATGGCAATTGTTCTGTATCTGAGCCATCTATGATGTCAGTGTATCAGTCATGGTTACAGATTATATTAAACCCCTAATCTGTGTTACATTATGTCACACAAAAGATATTTATGTAAAGTATATAATAAAGTGTATATGATATGACTATTTCCATATTACACACCATATCAACCTTCAACTATAAATATAATTTCTCGAGCAGACCTCTTGTGATTATATTGGTATGTCAAGTTAAAATGGGTGTGCTATGGAAATGGTCATATAATATGTTCTATTTATCACAATCATTTCAAGTTGTACTTCAACATCACTATTTGCTAGATCTATACTGTTTGAAGAAACTCATAATGTTCATGTGTGTGGTAGGTATCATATTTGTCTAGTTTTTCTTGGATATGAAATCAAACAGAAAAATAGTCGTTATGATATTTACATCAGGGTTTAACCAATCTTCAGAGGTCAGATTGATGGTAAATTAGATGTTGATACGATTCCATTGATTTGTTTGGTTCTTATTGAACTTTATAGTATGTAATAAATTAAATTTGAGAGTTTGAGTCAATTTTGTGGACAAGATTTGACAACTTATGCCATTTTAAGACCAGAAGATCAAAAATAAATACTGAGATGACAAAATAGCTGACATTTATCACTTTATAACTAGCTAGGGAACTATCTTTTATTATGTCACCCCTATGGAAATAGGGTTGATATTGTTATTGGTACGATTTTACATTCCACTTTTTTTTGTCCAGCTTAGTTCTCGGAGATGACTTGACACACATTGATAAAACTGCACCATAATGACAATCCCCATGGTTTGGAATTTTCAAGATGGCCGCCATTACCATGGAAACGACAAAAATATAAAAAACTGAAAAGTGGTCCAAATGCAATGAAATGATAATATACTTGAGCATCACATGATGCCACTGGGTGGTGATCAAAGGCATGAAAGTTCTGGCATGTATAATAGATGTGCCATTTGACTTTGGTATATTCAAATTGATTACTGCTACTGTGACTGTCTAGTATGGGGTGACATCCTCCCCTATTGCTTGCAATGATAATTGTCCTTATGATATTTTTTGACAATTTGGTCTATGGTACACAAATTGTCAAAAAATATCATTAGGACAATTATCATAAGAGCTACAGTTCCACAGCTAGTTTATAACTAACGGACAACACTTTTAAAAGATACTACAGCTGACCAGAATCTTAATTTACAAAAGGCAGTAGAGGATCTAGGAGGGGGCGGGGGTTGATAATCAATGCTTTTGAATGGGGACATATGGTTGGATTCCCCCCCCCCTTTTATCCTGGGTTGGAACCCCCTTTTATAAATGGCTGGATCTGCCCTTGAAAGGCATGTAAAATACATTGTTATCACCTTTTTACATTGTCTTGATCTGTTGATAGACAAAAGATAGAGAAAAATGCATAATAAATAGAAACATTTTATGGTAGAAGGAAGACATATTACTTTGGATTTATTATTTATAATGATTAAAGTTTAGCTTTTAAAACAGTTATAGTTGCATAAGATTGATAGAGAAAATTATTTCTCTAATTCTTCGTCAATTTATCTCTTTCTGCACCCATTGTATAAAAAAAAATAAACGTGTGGTTCGTTTGATCTCAGTTCTTCATTAAAATGCTACACAAGTGTAGCATTATTTTCCTGAGGTTTTAAGACAACCGCAGCATACCTCCGGGTATGCATCCTGATTACTGTCTACCAGCCTGTATCGTTAGAAGGTGTTGGTTCACTCAATGCAATCAGTTCTTCATTGGTTAAAATCAGATTATGACGTCAAATTTTCTTGTTTTCCTCTGAATTTCTTATTGTGACGGCATGAAAAAAAGCGACCATGCCTGATGACGTTACATAGAAAGAACACATCTGTTTGCAAATCAGTCGCAAAGAAGGAATAAGTTTGCCTGCGTATTGTTTGAAAATCATTAGAGAAACAGATTCCACCACCAAATCTCGTGTAATACGATATTTATCCACTATCGACAGTTAAATTTTAAATATATAAACTTGAAAATTTAACTGTCTCGAGTGGATAAATATCATATCACACTCAATGCAGTGGTAGAATCTATATATACACGTATTGTTATATGTTCTTTAGGAATATGTTATGCTGGAAACTTTCGTAATGCAACCACAAATGAGTGTGAGATGTGCCCTGTTGGATGGTATCAGTCAAAAGATTTACAGGATGAATGTGAGGCATGCCCAAGTTCATACACGACAGATGCAGAAGGAAAAACACACAGAGATAATTGCACATGTAAGTAGAAAGTACAAAGATGTCAACAATTTAACATTTCCTTTGAGTCAGTTTATAATTTACAGGCTTATAACAAATATGATTGAATTCCTAGTCCCAGTGTGTTGAAAACAACATAACTTACATGTATTTGACAAATTAGTTATAGCTAAATCAAGCCTATATAAAACTTAAGTATGGCCCAGTGTTGACGGTATCATTGTTGAAAGTTGGTCTATTATGAGGATATGGGAATTAGATCCAACAGCTCTTGCGAGGTACCTGGTGTTGCAGTCAAGTATCGATTTAAAAAGACAGCAATATTTAAACTGATGATTGAGAGGTAATACAACACTGTTTTTTTACAGTTATTATTATCTAATCAACTACATCATGAAAATTTATTTGATCTTGTTTAAATGAGGTACAGAAGGCCAAGTACACCTCTCATATTGGTAAATATATGTATGTGCCCAGATAATCCATAATAAAAAATCTTTTATGTTGAATGAATAAGCTAGTAAGCATTAATCAAATATGTTCTTATTAATTTTTTGTCTTAATCAAATATAAAATTAAAAATCAAATGTCAGATGATTTTTGTCGAGCCTGCGACTTTTATCGCAAAAAGCTCGACATAGGGATAGTGATCCGGCGACAATGGCGTTAGCTAACTTCTTAAAAGCTTTATATTTTAAAAGGTGGAGGATCTGGATGCTTCATACTTTGTATATGGATGCCTCATGTTACAAAGTTTTCGTCAGTCACATGTCCATTGTCCTTGACCTCATTTTCATGGTTCAGTGACTACTTGAAAAAAAAGTTAAGATTTTTTGTAATGTTAAATTCTCTCTTATTATAAGTAATAGGATAACTATATTTGGTATATGCGTACCTTGCAAGGTCCTCATGCCTGTCGGACAGTTTTCACTTGACCTCGACCTCATTTCATGGATCAGTGAACAAGGTTAAGTTTTGGTGGTCAAGTCCATATCTCAGATACTATAAGCAATAGGTCTAGTATATTCGGTTTATGGAAGGACTGTAAGGTGTACATGTCCAACTGGCAGGTGTCATCTGACCTTGACCTCATTTTCATGGTTCAGTAGTTATAGTTAAGTTTTTGTGTTTTGGTCTGTTTTTCTTATACTGTATGCAATAGGTCTACTATATTTGGTGTATGGAATGATTGTAAGGTGTACATGTCTAGCTGGCAGGTGTCATCTGACCTTGACCTCATTTTCATGGTTCAGTGGTCAAAGTTAAGTTTTTGTGTTTTGGTCTTTTTTTTCTAATACTATATGCAATAGTTCAACTATATTTGGTGTATGGAAATATTTTATGATCTATATGTCAGTCACGCAGGTTTTATTTGACCTTGACCTCATTTTCAAGGTTCATTGCTCGGTGTTAAGTTTTTGTGTTTTGGTCTGTTTTTCTTAAACTATAAGCAATGGTCAACTATATTTGTTGTATGGAAGAATTGTTAGCTGTACATGCCTGCCTAGCATGGTTCATCTGACCTTGACCTCATTTTCATGGTTCATTGGTCAATGTTTAGTTTACTTGGTTAATGTTAAGTTTATGTGACAGTTGTAATAAAGCTTTATATTGAGGACTATCAACATAATATCAATGATTAGTAAAGAAGGCGAGACATTTCAGCGTGTGCACTCTTGTGAGGTATATTTTGAAAAAGATATTTTTAACCTACCTTCTGAATTAAAAAATTAATGACTAAATATCAGTCTTTATAATTTATTTTTTGAGAATTTGTAAGAAATGATAGCACAAATTTATTCTGTTCTAAAAGGAAGGCTGATGTACAAAATTTCAAATTATACTATTGGAAACATGTATCTATAACGTTCAAGTGCTTCCTTTAATCAGAATTAGAGTTTTAAAACTTCAACTGATTTTTTTACCTCATTTTAATTGTTCAATGGTCAATTTTGAGTTTTCCTGATACTATAAGGAATTGTTCAACTCTTTTTGGTACACAGAATTACTCTTTAAGGTGTACATGTCTGTCTGGCATGTATCATCTGACCTTGACCTCATTTTCATGGGTCATTATTCAGTGTTAATATAGAAATGTGAAGATGTGGTATGATTGCCAATGAGACATCTCTCCACCAGAGACCAAATGACATAGAAGCTAGTTAACAATTAAAGGTCACTGTATGGCCTTAAACAATGAGCAAAACCCATATCACATAGTCAGCTATAAAAAGCCCCAGAATGACAAATGTAACACAATTCAAACAAGAAAACAATGAATAAGAAACAAATATGATAAACAGCAACAAACAACAAGTGCTGAATAACAGGCTCCTGAGTAGGGACAGGCGCATACAGACTGTGGCAGGGTTAAACTAGTTTGTGAGCCCCCAATCCTCTCCAAACCTGGAACAGTTGTGTAACAGCACAACATATGAACAAACTATAAAAGTCAGTTGAAAAGGGCTTAACTCATCAGGTACAGTCAAACTTCCAAACCAAATCTTTGAATCTATGGAAAAGTTTAGTAAAGGCTGAAACGTATATAAATTATGATAAATGTTACCAAGGAGAAATTAACTGCTTAAATCATCTGGTTAGTTTTTATGTTTTTGTCCGTTTTTTTTTTTGTATTTAAGCAAAAGGTCAACTATAATTGATGTATTGAATGATTGTAAGGTGTACATGTCTATCTGGCAGGGTATAAAAATAAATATAGGTTATTAATTCCTATCTTTATTCTCCCTTATAACATTCCAAATTAACATGGCTACCTAGTGAGAATAACCTGTGTCCTTGAGTCGCCCAAGGAACGAAGACTTAACTTGTTGGAGATACTAACCACCCTCTTATAAATTGTTAAACAAGTATATGAGTGTCACTTACCAACTCTTCACATAAAATAAAATCCATGTTGAAAGAGAGACTTTGTCAAAATGTTACATAATGTCTTGTTATCAATTTTTTCAGTATTTACCATATTGCTGAACTGTGGAAATTTTTCAAAACCACATGTGTATGAAAATGTGGGCAATGATCTCTGTTTACAGAATGATTTGTCTATAAGTGTGTCATCTCAATTATACTACTGGCAGTTACATGTGTCTAGCTTTAAAAGACCAATATTTAAAAGAGCTGATAGATCCCGACACGTGCATTTACTATTAAAATTATTGCTCAGTAATCAAGTCGAAACCAATCCAGGACCAAACAACTTAAACGAGTCTAGCTACCCATGTTCAATCTGCTCACGGGAGTGTACTTGGAACCAAGACGCTATAGTCTGTGATAACTGTGATAAATGGTGTCATGCAGGGTGTGTAAATATCAGCTCATCCATGTATGAAAAGTATGGAAATATTTCAGCCCTCTGGGTATGTCCAAATTGTGATACCCCCAACCATTCCAGAACAATTTTTCAGTCATTTTTATCAACAGGAAATTCAGTGTTAACAACAAACTCATTTTCATGTTTATCCCAAACTGACAGTTCAGCTTTTTCAGTCAGTCTTAATGATAATACAGATAATATTGGAAATCCAGTAGCTACGTCTTCTCCAAAACCAGTAGCGACAAAAATATATAAAGAATAAATAGGCAAACCTCGCTAAGAGTGTTAAATATAAATTTTAGAAGCTGCAAAAACAAAGTAGCCCAAATAGAAAACTTAATAACATCATCTAAACCTGATATTATAATTGGAAATGAGACTTGGCTAAATAAGGATGTCAAGTCCTCTGAGATATTTCCTTCTTCACTAGTTGAGGATGTATTCCGGAGAGACCGAGAACGTAAAGAAGGCAGAGGCGTTTTAATAGCTATTAAAAAGGGTATTATATGCCAACAAATTTATTGTAGTAAAAATGTAGAGCTGATTGCAGCACAAATAGATATAACAGATTCAAAGTCCTTGATAATTGTTTCAGTCTATAGACCACCAAGTAAATCTGATATAAACTATTTTAAACAGATGTTATTAGAATTAAATGATTTAAAATTAAAGTTTAAAAATTCAACCTTCTGGATAAGTGGAGACCTTAATCTTCCTGATATAGATTGGGGGGTTGGTCGAAGTCACTAATGACGTTCTGACACAATCTGACAGGCGAACTAGAGGCCTACATAAATTTCGACATACATATACAAATAAAGACTTTTTTAAATCATCTTTTTTCCCAAGTACTATTGCTGTCTGGAACGATCTCCCAGGAACAATTTGCATGTCACCCTCCCTAGAATCCTTCAAAGGTGGTATCTCCACCTTAACATTTGGAGGTTCTAGTCTGGCTAATTAATTAGTGTATTTAAGCCACTGTACATAATGTGAATATGTTTAACATTAAGCTACAACTAATGTTATTTTAAATTGTAATTGAACTGTGGCAAATATTTTTATCTTATAACAAAATTTTCGACATCCATTTGCATGTACATAGTGCCACAGTTCCGGGATATTCCACACTCCGGCACCGGAGTCTTTCCAGTACCAGGAAGAAGAAGAAGAAAAAAGTATAACAAAAATAATGAACTCCAAGGCAAATTTAAAAAGGGGTTCCATTAAAACTGACAAAATCAAACACTATCAATCAATGGAAAAAGTGAAAAACAACTGTTATACAGACTTGGTACAGTCATTTTCCAAAGAAGATATTATCTGACCTTGACTTTATTGTCATGGGTCATTGATAATGTAAAGTATATGTGATACTTGCAGTAAAATCTTTATCTTTAAGGCATTTATATTAAATCAATCATGGTCATGCAGTAAAGCAGGTGAGTCATTTTGTTTTGCATAAATCAATCAAGCAAAACAATCTCATTTAATGAACCATTTTAAACTTCTGTAGTATTCCTTACAATAAGTGACATGTTGAGAAATAATAATAATAATGGAGTTGTAGCTTGATGTATCATGTATAGCTGGTAGTAATAGAATAATTACTTTTATTAGATTATGTGTAGAAGGTTATATGTTGGGCTGTTATCCTCAAGCATCTATTTTTAGATAAAACATCTAACTGTCACATTCCTATTTTGATCCAGAGGAAATTTATATTTTTCAAATGAAAACATAAGTAATTTTTTTTCTTAAATACAAATATAGTTTTATTGAGTTCAAGCTTGTTTGAAACAATAGTTGATTAACTGATGTTTAATATTTTGTTTAGTTTATTGTGACCCAGGAATGGAAGTTGTGTCAGCTGATTTAGAATCCTGCAGAAAGTGTCCACGTGGATCTTATCGTAGTAATAATGATGTTGAGATACTACTTCCCTGCCAGAATTGTACAGGTGGTAACACAACAGAACTTGATGGAAGAATAACAATGGACCAATGCTCAATAAGTAAGAAAATCTAAGGTTCATTTCAGATAGAAATTATTGTTTACTCGTTTGCATTCAAGTCCCATATATTTGTATCAAATAATATGCATGTCTGCATGTCTTATGACTGAATAATTTGTGAAACACATTCCACATGTTCATTTAGTACATATTAATGCTTGTTGCTTATTCTGTTCTTCCCAAAAGTCAATTCCATTCAAGTTTATTCAACAAAATGACTAATTATACAAACAAGGTTATTGGACATAGTTATGTAAGGACTGCATTGATATGCCTACATAAGAATAAGGAGATGTGGAGTAATTGCCAATAAGACATGTATCCACCAAAGTTCAAATGAAGTGGATGTTAGCAATTACAGGCAACAATACAGCCTTCAACAGTGAAAAAACCTATACTGTTAAGTCAGCTATGAAAGACCTAGACACGATAAATATGAAACAATTCAATGGAGAAAAAACTAACGGCCTAAGACAACGACAATCACTAAACTATAGGCTACTGACTTGGGACAGGCACATAAAGAATGTGGTGGGTTAAAAAATTTGTGAGCACTCAGACCTCCCCTTATCCTGGGACTGTGGTGTTACTGCACAACAGAAGAACAAACTATAAAAATCAGTTGAAAAGGGCTTATCTCATCAGATCAATACAAAGCAGAAAAAACATCTAACAAAAACACAGGCTGGAAATGGCTGGGTATTTTTACATCCTTAACAAAAAAAAGATCTGAGAGTATTGTTATAGTTAAATTTTCATTACAAAATGGGGCCGTTATGGCCAAGTGATTCAAGTTGTTCATTTACAGTAATCACTATCCTGTCAAAACTTAGGTTAAAAGTTTAAACCCCACTAGTGGCAGGTGTACTCGACTTCAATCTTAGTTGACTAGAATTGCCATGTTTCCTGCCAAGTGTCTGCGGTCATTTAAGGTTCTCTGGCTTCCTCCACCAATATAAATGTACCATCATGATATTTCAGGTGCTCTAGCTTCCTCTACCATTAAAAATGTACCATCATGATAAAGCTGAGAGTGCAGAAAATTGCTTATAATAATTAATCAATACATGTATACCAGGGCTTCCGAAATTATTTTTAGCCTGCCGGACATTTTATATATTATCCCGATTTTAATCCCTTAAGACTAAATAAACAAAAGGCAATTATGGTAATCAGTTTCCGAGTTGGCCATCCCAATGATTGACATTAAAAAAAAACGATATTAAACTTTCTTTGATTCAAATTCGACGTTCTGACGTAAACTGTTAAATTGGCAGTGCATCATTCGAAGTGTGCAACATCAGCGTACTTATATCTGCCTTAGACTCTTTATTTGTTCAAAATAACGTTGTCAAAAACTTTACTTTCGTTTTTATACCGGATGTTATCTTGACAATGGTAAAACATAGACCAGAGACAGATACGTAAATTCCGTGTACGTTTGCAAAGCGTGAATGAGTGGAAATAGCTCTTTCTACGTTTTTTTTTTCAAGAAAATATTCGAAATAAACGTGAGATAAAGGTATCAATGACAATTTAAGCATTTTTTTAAGAAATTAGGATGCATAATTAATTTTCACACCTGTGCACATGCGCACACGTGTACTAGTTCAAACAGAGACATGTCTCTAGGTTCAAACAACGTGGTTATGACGATTTTTCATTTTCACCTTTTTAATTTTTTCATCAAATGATATTTGTAAACGTATTTCTGATAATTTAAATCTTTTTGACTAAAGTAATTAGATACAAACCGCTGAAATGTAAGAAAATAACTTTGAATAGACCGATCAATGTCCGGTTCAAAATAGTTTACCTGTCACCTGAACAGGTAAATTTCAGCTGTTTGACAACTAATTAGCCTTGATTAAAATGAGAAGGTATTAAAGTAGGGGTTGTTTTGATAGTACTTAATGATCATGTAACTTTTATGACCGGAAATGTGTGGCTGTTAAAGGCAAAACGTTGGGTCAAAAAGATCGCGAATTATGTTAAAATGACCGTCTCTTAAAGCCTTGAAAACAAAAAAGTAGATGACCGTTTCATGCTTTGCCCAGCCGGACTTTTACCGGACATTATACAAATGTCCGGCATATATGACCGTTTTGGAAGCCTTGATGTATACTAGTTAACCCCAATATATCTGATTACAACTTTTTGGGAAAGTCTATTCTATAATCTCTGATTAAAAAGTATAGAAAATTATCTGAAATATAATGTGATTAGTCTAAAACAAATAGTATGATAAGAATAATTAGGAAAATCAAATGTACTGAGCTGAAGGATGTATTCTTCTGACGTTTCAGTCTCGTTGAAATCTCGTTATGGAATTATTTCCAAAACATGTGATACAAATGGAAAATATTAATGAATTTAAAAAATATTATAATCAAACTTAACTCTGTGAAAAAATTGTGTATTTACAATAAGTAATAAAATTTTCAAATTTTATTACCAATCAAGTCAGTCTCATTAGCCAAAATGTTGAGAGAATGGGTGAGGGGTACAAGAAATGATTTTACAAGAAACATGAACATCCCATAACAATTTTTTGTTTTCAAATTTCTTAGATATGTGTTTTTCAATCATTTATAATAAAGAAATTGAAATAATATGTTTTTTGTTATAAAAAAAAAAGAGAAAAATCCCAAATTTACAAAATTGACAGCATGGTAAATTTGACACAAAAAAGCAACAAAATTTTATGAAACTCTCTTATATTAACACCTATGCCTATAGTTTTTAGCTCACCTGGCCTAAAGGGCCATGTGAGCTTTTCTCATCACTTGGCGTCCGTCGTCGTTAGCTTTTTACAAAAATCTTCTCCTCTGAAACCACTGGGCCAAATTTAATCAAACTTGGCCACAATCATCATTAGGGTATCTTGTTTAAAAAATGTGTCTGATGACCCCGCCAACCAACCAAGATGGCCGCCATGGCTAAAAATAGAACATAGGGGTAAAATGTAGTTTTTGGCTTATATCTCTGAAACCAAAGCATTTAGAGTAAATCTGACATAGAAATTTTCAGACAAATCTGACACTCTGTTGTTGGGTTGCTGCCCCTGAATTGGTAATTTTAAGGAAAATTTGCAGTTTTTGGTTATTATCTTGAATATTATTATAGATAGAGATAAACTGTAAACAGCAATAATGTTCAGCAAAGTAAGATCTACAAATGAGTTGCATGACCAAAATTGTCAGTCAATCCCTTAAGGGGTATTGCCCTTAATAGTAAATTTTTAACAATTTTTGTAAATTTTTGTAATCTTTTACAAAAATCTTCTTCTCTGAAACTACTGAGACAAATTTAACCATACTTGGCCATAATCATTATTAGGGTATCTAGTTTAAAAAATTTGTCCGATGACCCGGCCTTCCAACCATCATGGCCAACTTAGTTAAAAATAGAACATAGGGGTAAAATGCTTTTTTTTGGTTTATATCTCTGAAACTAAAGCATTTAGAGCAAATCTGACAGGTGGCAAAAACGTTCATCAGATTTAGATTTATCTGCCCTGAAATTTTCAGACAAATCCGACAACCCGTTGTTGGGTTGCTGCCCCTGAGTTAGTAATTTTACAAAAATTTTGCAGTTTTTTGTTATTATCTTAGATATCATTATAATATCTTATATATAATACTATTAATTATGATTTTAACCTTATTTTACATGATTTCCAAAGCATCAGTAAATACAGGTGAGCGACACAGGCTCTTGAGAGCCTCTAGTTATTATATTTCAAAATCTATAAAAGATAAACTATAAAGAAGAAAAAAATATAAATGCAAGTTCAAACAACAGAGATTTTAGTCATAAATTATGTTCTAGTCTGAAATGTTGGAGAGTGTCCATTGATGAAGATGCCTGAGAGTCCCTAGTTTTAAAAGTCCATCTGATTATACGTTCTTGTTCATGTACAAGTGTAATTACAGGGAAATGTGAAGCAGGTCAGATAATAGATAGCACAGGAGCTTGTAAAGACTGTGATATGGATACCTATCAACCAGACGAGTTACCAACATCAACTACCACATGCATGCCCTGTAATCCACAGAAGGGCACTATGGATGTGAAATCTACTAGTGAGGACAAATGTATCCGTAAGTAAATTTATGGTCATGGCTTATCAATATCAATTTGTGTTGTGTAATGAAGTTATTTTTTTAAAACCCTTTCAAAGAAGTCAACTTATTTTCTGGCAACTATTCATGCTTTTTAGCTCGTTTGGCATCTTTGGTAAACTTTTTTGAAAATCTTCTCTGATGAGATGACTGAATAAATTGTAATAAAACATCATAGAATTTATCCTTAGTTCATCTAGTTTAAAGATTCGATTTATTTAAGGTTTACAAACAACATAACTACCATGGGTAACAATGGAACACACAGGTACGTCGCAAGAAATTGTCTTGAAAATCCTAATAGGTACAGAGAATTTAATGAGTGCAAAAAATATTCAGTATGTTATGTCAAGATCTATCTACCCTGTTGAAATCAAAATTATTAGACTCTTTTTTTGGAGTTCTTGTTCTTGAAAGATGATTTTTATGCCCCACATAGGGGCATTATGTTTTTCGGTCTGTGTATCCGTTTGTCTGTCCATCCGTCCTGCTTCAGGTTAAAGTTTTTGGTCAAGGTAGTTTTTGATGAAGTTGAAGTCCAATCAACTTGAAACTTAGTACACATGTTCCCTATGATATGATCTTTCTAATTTTAATGCCAAATTAGAGTTTTTACCCCAATATCATGGTCCACTGAACATAGAAAATGATAGTGCCAGTGGGGAATCCGTGTACTATGGACACATTCTTGTTTTAACTAATATTAACATTTAAAAACTTAAAACTATAAGGTGCTACCAAAGATGGAAGGAAATTTTAAGCAGAAAAATAAATTAGAAATGATTAATAAATACAAATTTTCCCCTAAACTGAAACCAGAATTGTATTCCTGTAAATCTGGAGTTATTTCCCTTAACAGATGCTTTTTACTTGTTAACTTGACAGCTACAAAAGATAAACAGAAACTTAAAATAATCAACAAAACAAGAGAATGTGATTGAAACCATCAATTGACTCTTTATACTATTATAGGAGGTCTTGCCCTTAACTTATGAATTTTCATCAATTATCTTAAGGTGGTACCAAATGCCTTGACTAAAATTAATTAAGCTCAATTAATTTTCATAAAATTTGACCCTTTGACAAAAATTTGAAAATTTCAAAAAACTTGAACCACACACTTTTTGGAAAAAAATCATTGGATACAGTGTTCTCCATTTTTCACTAAGGTAAGGTGGGTCTTTTGAAAAAATCACTTGCAACCAGTCGTATTATTATACCCCACGCAACGGGTTGCGGAGGGTATAATGTTTTTGACCCGTCCGTTCGTCAGTCCTGTTTCTTGTCATCTCAACTCCTCTCAAACCACCCAACAGAATTTCACGAAACCTTTTTAGATAATAAGGACATACTATGTAGTTGTGCATATCGACAGGAAATTGCGATTCAATTTTTTTTCTAGGAGTTACACCCCTTTGAACTTATTTGCATCAATGTACTTCTGCAACAGTTTGTCATCGCAACTCCTCTGAAACCACACAACAGAATTTCATGAAACTTTGTAGATAATAAGGACATACTATGTAGAAGTGCATATCGACAGGATATTATGATTCAATTTTTTTTTCTTATACAATTTTTTTTTTCTTACACTTATATTATTTCTCCAATGACAATGTGGGGACGTGGGGTATGTGAGCGCGCTCACTAAGGTTCTTTAATTTTTTTTATACTTTTCCAACCGGGTTTTTTTTACTGTGGGTGTTGTCACAAAAAGAATGGTTAGTATTGTATTCACATTTAATGGAATTGAATAGCAGATGGCTTTTGCAGGACTTCCTCCTCCTGCCAAGTTTTTATCCTATTCCTTGCTTTAGTGCTGTATTTTTGGTACACAGAACAGTAACATCCTTCTTCTGTGACGATTATCCATTTAAAGTCCTGTTCATATTTCTCAGCTTGGGAACAACCTCTCAATGTAATGACTATTTCTTTTATGAAGGAAATTTTTCAAGAGATACAAATGAGCACATATTTATTTCATTTACAGAAACTTTTTCCAAAGAACTATACATCTATTTGGTATTATATGGTCAAAACATGTCCAAGAATTTTGTAATAGTCCTGGACTTATATCTACTTTATCATTAAAAAAAAAGGGACCCTCTTTTAGAAAAGTTGTTCCAAATATTACATAATTGTACAATGTCTCATGTTTGTTGCTTATAGTTATACTATCATAAATTATTGTTAATTGTAAATGCCCCCTGTGGGACCCTGATTGGAATAATAAACTATTTGATTTGATTCGATTTTATAACGAGTTTTCCCCCTTTTAAGTTAAACAATCTTAGTTTTTCTTTTTTCTTTTCTTCAACAATATGACGACCTCTTGTCACTCATTTAAGGAATATCCCTCATTAGGGGATTGTTCCCAACCTGTTTACCTTCGCAATCGCTCGCGTGCCTTTTCCGTTGTTTTGATACTTTTTTTTCAATTTTAACAATTTCAATACGACTATCCGTTTTAGTTGACTTATTTTGCCTAAAGTTTTCCTTGTCACCATCGTCATCTGCCTTTCTCTTCCCCCGAATAACAATAGAAAACATTGAAATTCGTCGATCCGCCATTTTTGTCAATGAAAACAAATCAGCGAGGCGCAATTAGTATTCAAATTTTTACGGTGTGGAACCGAAAAAAATCTGGAATTTGAAAAAAAAGCCGACCACCTCCTTAAATGGAAGGGTGGTCGGCTTTCTAAAGAAGGTGGTCGGCACACCCGGCTTAAATGCCGAATGGAAAACACTGTTGGATATATAGCTGTTTGACAATTTTGATCATTCAGAAGCTTGATATTTCCTTAACAATAGTATAAAACGTTGAGCTGATTTTTACAGAGTAATCTCCCTGTAGTGTTATGTACAACCATAAAGACCATTAGAGATGGACAGAAACTCTCAACAACATTAATGATCAGCAATTCAAGATCTACACTTATATCAATACAACTGAAACCACCTGACTACATAGAAGAGTTATAACCCTTAAATTCTTGATTTTTGTTTGCTTAATGGCCAGTGACAATGTTCAGAAATGGGATGGTGGCAGAAATTAGGAATGCCACTGGAAAATAAGGATGACTTTATTTCTATACCCCAGTCAACCCTTGGGGGTAAACCCTTTAATGAAAACTTTTACCTATTTACATTTTTGTTTCAAAGATCTTTGCCTCTGGAACAATAAAACAAATTAAACCATATTTGATATGACTTCAGTGTGTTAGTGAATTATTTTACGGCCAACATGGCCACTAAGATTACAAAATAGAACATGATGTAAAAGTAAATACATTGTAATTGTCTTGTATCTTAAAAACTGAAGTGGATGGAGGAAATCAAACTGGAGCATAGTTGGAGAGTCGTTATCTTTTGTAAATCCCTCACTAATGTGAGACAATTCTTATTAGATTTCTTGCCCTTTAGTTATGATTTTATGGAGTTTTTGAATACTACCTTAAAGAACATTTGCATAGAGATCTAGAGAAACTGTACAATGCAGAAGTGATACAGATATTTGCATTAACGATATGAAAGTGTTTGTTATGAATGAACAAATCTTTCATGAAAAAGGGTGAAATTTTCAAATCATTTCAGGTTCTAGTTCCTTCAATAGGGGTATGCTGCTAGAAAAAACCATGGTTTGTGTTTTTAATCAATTTATCTTTTGCCTTACAGTTGTATGTAAAGAAGGACAGCAGAATGATCGAACTTCCTGTTCAGCTTGCCCACAGGGAACATGGAGCAATGGAAACAAAACTATGAGATTTGGAATGTGTTATAATTGTTCAGAAGATTGGACCACAGAACCTGCAGAAGGAATGGGGTCTACACACCCTGACAATTGTACTCTTAGTAAGTTAATAAACCATTTAGTTGCTTCATCTCTCAATGCAATAAATGCAGTCTCTTAATATGAATTATTGTCTGTCAATCATGTCTTTCCTAAAAATCTTTGCCAAATTAAACAAAAAGTTTATGTCTAGGTATTGTAAAATCTGAAAAAAGCAAAAAAAGTTTATATCTTCATTTGGTGTTCTGTCAGTTCAGTTCAAACTTGTATTTATACCACCACTTTAAAAAAGTGGGGGTCTGTCTGTCTGGCCGTCCGTCCATCCGTTCCATGAATATTTTTCATTGCATCTTTCTGGAACTACATCATAAGGATTTCTGAAATTTGGTTTCAGGGTTTATATAAGTCAGCTTTAACGTGTGATGCATTTTCAGATTCATCACTCAACAACTTCCTGTTTACCGAACACTTACATCATTTTACACATAACATCCAAGTTGAAAATTTTCGTGACACATTTTTCTCATGAACTAAATTACAAGGATTTCTGAAATTTTGTTTCAGGGTTTACGAGTCAGCTATACTGTGTGATGCGTTTTCAGATTCATCACTCAACAACTTCCTGTTTACCGAACACTTGCATCATTTTACAATAACTATTTAAATATTCCAAATGCATATTTGGGAGGGGGTATCATCAGTGAGCAGTAGCTCGCAGTTTCCCTTGTTGATTTTGCTGCAGACTATACTATGAATTGTTTCCTTTAATACTTTCAGGAGACTGTGATCCAGGATACTACATAAGTGGAGATAACTGTGAACCCTGTGGATATGCCCAATACCAACCTAATAGACATGCTAAAATGTGTCTGAACTGTTCTGTCAATCAGAATACTAGTACCACGGCATCTACATCTCAGTCTGCTTGTCAAAGTATGTATCTAGTATCAAAATAGCTATCCTTTTATAAGCTGGTCCAAGTATGTAGTATCATTATATCTTACACCTGGCTTTTCAAGATATCTGGATAGTACAATAGCAGCCATCTTTCTATAAGCTGGTAAAAGTCTGTATGAAGGACCATTATACTTGCACCAGGATTGCCAAGGTATCTGTATAGTACCATAGCAGCCATCTTTCTATCAGTTGGTCAAAGTCTGTATGAAGGACCATTATAAATTCAAATTCAAATTTAAATATTTATTGCCATATAAACTTTAAACATTAAGTTTGTGACAAATACAAAATAAGTAGACAATATAACTAAAATTCACATAATTATATGTATACACAATCATTCAATTACAGTAAATAGTCATTGTCCCCTGTCCTCAGTTTTAATGACTTTTTGATGTAGGACCCCAATTTATTTACTTGTGATGGTATTGATGGATTGAGTATAAAAATCACCCTTTTTTCATCAGACAAATCTTTAAAAGAAATTATACTTGCACCAGGATTCCCAAGGTATCTGTATAGTAACATAGTAGCCCTCTTTATATAAGCTGGTCAAAGTCTGTATGAAGGACCATTATACTTGCACCAGGATTGCCAAGGTATCTGTATAGTAACATAGTAGCCACCTTTCTATAAGCTGGTCAAAGTCTGTATGAAGGACCATTGTACTTGCACCAGGATTGCCAAGGTATCTATATAGTAACATAGTAGCCACCTTTCTATAAGCTGTTCAAAGTCTGTATGAAGGACCATTATACTTGCACCAGGATTGCCAAGGTATCTATATAGTAACATAGTAGCCACCTTTCTATAAGCTGGTCAAAGTCTGTATGAAGGACAATTATACTTGCACCAGGATTGCCTAGGTATCTATATAGTAACATAGTAGCCACCTTTCTATAAGCTGGTCAAAGTCTGTATGAAGGACCAGTATACTTCCACCAGGATTGCCAAGGTATCAATATAGTAACATAGTAGCCACCTTTCTATAAGCTGGTCAAAGTCTGTATGAAGGACCATTATACTTGCACCAGGATTGCCAAGGTATCTGTATAGTCACACCCCATTCCACAGAGTGCATCCCAAGATTATCCTGCAATCACATTGTTTACTCACTGTTCAGCCAGTGTCTTTTGTTACATATTACTGAGATAAAGGATTGATTTGATTATTGATGATGACTTGTTGTGTGTATGTGTTATAGCCACTTCCTGATTGATTATAATTAATATTTTTATCTTTCTGGACTAAAGTTCAATGTGAGCTATTGTCATCACTTTGCATCTGTTACATGACTGTGCTTTTGATATTGGTATAATTTGCCCTTCTTCTTGAGAATCACTGAATTTAATGAAACAATAATTGACAGAGAAGTACCTTACACTGGACATTAAGTAAACAACAATCAATCAATCCTTAACATACAAGGTCCTTTTTAATCGTTTTACCTTGGAGCAGTTTGGTCTATGACCATCTTGGCTTGTTTTTTTTTTCAATTTCAGATTGGCTGAAACCATTGACAAATATGCTCTTGTCAAGGGTAATTAAAGTTATTTTTTAAGCAGATTGGAAATTTATAATGGCTGCCAGCTAAAGTCAAAGTTTTCACTGAGTTAGAGTTTTAAGAGTTTGAAATTGAGTCATTTAATTTATTAGAAGACAGAGCTACAGCAAATTCTGCAATGTAGTAAAGATTGAAAATGCATTTGTTCGTGTATTCTCTCTTTGTGAAACAATTATAAACATTTTGAAATTGTTATATTTCTGACAGTAATTGGTTTTAATATGACCGCAAAAAATTTTTGCGGTCGTATATTGGTATGATGTTGGCGGTGGCGTTGTCCGAAGACACATTGGTTTTCGCACTATAACTTTAGTTTAAGTGAATGGATCTCTATGCAATTTTACCATAAGGTGAAATACCACAAAAGGAAGGTGGGGATTGATTTTGGGGGTTATGGTACCAACAGTTAAGGAATGAGGGGCCAAAAATAAGCATTTTCTAGTTTTCAGACAATAACTTGTGGAAAGGTGTATGGATCTCTCTGAAATTATACCATAAGTTTCCATACCACAAAGGGATGGTTAGGATTTGCTTTGGGGGGTTATGGCTCAAACCGTGTAGGAAATAGGGGCCAAAAAGGGGGAAAAACAAGGTTGTCCTGGTTAATGGACAAATACTTTAGTACAAAATATAATTTAAAGCAGTGTAAGGGAGATAAATCAAATACATCATTTGAATTACCTCCCTTACACTGCTTTTAAATTATGTATAAAGTAATGGTTAATGAACAATTAAGACAATTTAAAACAGTGTAAGGGAGGTAATCCAAATACAACGTTTTGATTACTTCCCTTACACTGCTTTTAAATTATGTTTAAAGAAATGCATATTTATAAAGGAAGACCTGTAAAAAAATCCATATGAAAGATTTGACACTTTATTTTTAATTCTATTATAAAATAGATTAAGTTAGCACTATGGTCCATCATCCAAGCATCCATAGGATGTGATGGATGATGGACATTCTGTAAGGAAGCCGAAGGCTTCACGGGTTAAAGACGAATATCTTATTCTACAGGCTAGTAACCACCTTGTTTGACAGTTGAGTGATTTTAAATCATAGTCACCTGTACAAATCCACTCATGCGTGCATATATAAACCCGTGCACACCTGTATTCTGTCTCATTTTAAAGTATCACAAAAAAGGATAAGAGAGAAAAACTCATTTAATTGTTATGACTCAACTGTAAAACAAGGTCTTTACTAGCCTGTAGAATAAGATATTCATCTTTAACCAAGAAGCTGTAGGCTTCTGTAATAGAATGGTAAATTTAAATGGGTAATTGGAAATTTGAATTGAGATTATGACCATATCTTGCGGGAAAGAATTTTTTTGGGGGAAAAGGGGGGGGGTAAAAAGAAATTGTGGGGAGTCAATTTTTTCTCATTTCAGATTTCAGAAATTAAAAAGAATTATTCTTCAAATTTTTTTTTTTTTTTCAAATTTCAAATATGGAAAAATTTCAAGAAGTAATCTTTAATTGCACAGAATGGCGCATTAGATTTGTAAAATCTTTGACCACATTTATTCATTTGTTATGCCGAATCTGACCGTGAATTTAGATTTTTAATTTTGGGTCCAGTTTTCAAATTGGTCTACATTAAGGTCCAAAGGGTCCAAAATTAAACTTAGTTTGATTTTAACAAAAATTAAATATTTGGGGTTCTTTGATATGCTTTATCTAAACATGTATTTAGATTTTTGATTTTTGGCCCAGTTTTGAAGTTGGTCCAAATTGAGGTCCAAAATTAAACTTTGTTTGATTTCGACAAAAATTGAATATATGGGGTTCTTTGATATGCTGAATCTAACCATGTATTTAGATTTTTTATTTGTGCCCAAAACACCCCCCCCCCCCCCCCCCCCCGCCTCCCCCCCCCCCCCCCCCCTTATCAAATTGAGGTCAAAAGGGTCCAAAATTAAACTTAGTTTGATTTTAACAAAAATTGAATATATGGGGTTCTTTGATATGCTGAATCTAAACATGTATTTAGATTTTTAATTTTGGGCCCAGTTTTCAAGTTGGTCCAAATTGAGGTCCAAAATTAAACTTTGTTTGATTTCAACAAAAATTGAATATATGGGGTTCTTTGATTTGCCAAATCTAACCGTGTATTTAGATTTTTAATTTTGGGTCCCGTTTTTTAAATTGGTCTACATTAAGGTCCAAAGGGTCCAAAATTAAACTCAGTTTGATTTTAACAAAAATTGAATTCTTGGGATTCTTTGATATGCTGAATCTAAACATGTGTTTAGATTTTTTATTATGGGCCGAGTTTTCAAGTTGGTCCAAGTAGGGGTCCAAAATTAAACTTTGTTTGATTTCAACAAAAATTGAATATATGGGGTTCTTTGATATGCTGAATCTAACCATGTATTTTGATATTTGGGCCCCGTTATCAAATTAGTCCACATTGAGGTCAAAAGGGTCCAAAATTAAACTTTGCTTGATTTCATCAAAAATTGAACTCTTTGGATTCTTTAATATGCTGAATCTAACCATGTATTTAGATTTTGGATATTGGACCATAATAGGTAAATTAAACATTTTTAAGTTCTTAGACCACATTCATTCTGTGTTAGAAACCTATGCTGTGTCAAATATTTAATCACAATCCAAATTCAGAGCTATATCAAGCTTGAATGTTGTGTCCATACTTGCCCCAACTGTTCAGGGTTCGACCTCTGTGGTCGTATCAAGCTGCGCCCAGCGGAGCATTTTATTCTCAAATAAAAAACTTTTGCTGGAGAATTGAATATTTCTGGTGTATGCATTAGAAAACATTATCATGGGAAAAGTGTAGTTTTATATTTAGTATCATATTTTCACTTTTTGTATTCATTAAAATTGTTAAAATCACGGACGAACTTTGCTTCATATCTATTGCTGTCTGTTGTAGTTTACTGCCCTAAAGGTCAGGAAGGAAATGTTAGTTGTGCTGACTGTCAGACTAACTATATCAAACAAACAGAAGGAATAGCAGCCTGTAAGCCATGTGAAGGGAATTATACTTCCAATGATGCACATGATGAATGTAGTAAAAGTAAGTTTTATCATAAAATGTGTTTTAATAGGACTAAGTATGGTCTCTATAAATTTTCAAGGGAATACTGAAAACTAATAAACTTTCACCTCAGCCTGCTTCTTTTTCATTGAATTTACAAGTAGTTTTTATTGGATGTAACGTCTAATGTGTAAGAATACTTACTATTTACTCTTTTTAATCCCTTTGCTAAAAGATAATGTGAATCAGAACATTAAGCTTTCAAAAAATAAAAATATGTTCCTTGTTAGTTTTTAGTGCATAAGAACATTAAATTAAATATGGCCATCAAAGACGAGCATTTAATGTTAGATTGATTTGAGGTCTATTAACTCGGGATAATATGATTCTTTTACCCATCCAAATGGATTTTTGCAGTGAAGGTAAGTTATTGATTTTCAGAATTTGACTTTTGCCACAACAGAATTTCTGAACTTTATGCATGATTTTTCAGTCTGTACAAAGGTTTGTCCTGTATCAAGTTAAAGTTCTGGTTTAAGGAGGTATACCATGAAATCTTTGTTACAACAGCTTGCTTTGTAAAGGGGATGGGGGTGATATTGTTCTCCGGTCTGAATGTCAATCTGTCCTGTACAGAGATGGGTCTAATTACTTTCAATGTAATTGATTAAATTACAATTACTTTGTCAATTGTATGATTAAATTAATGATTACACCATTTCTGAAAGTAACTTATGAAATTAATGATTACATTGGCAAGTAAATTACATCTGATTACAATGAATTTCAAAATAACATATTTGAATGATGTTAATGAATAAAGATTTTCATGGTTATAACTGTAGCACTTTTTGAGAAAGGATTTTATTTGATACGTTATTAAATAATAACTTCATACTTCACATATCTGATCCCCTTTTCACAATGAAAATCAACTAATTCGCTGTACACATATATAGCTAAAAATGCTGATATCAACTCACTATGAATATGGCATGTCTTGAGCATATTTTTGCCAAGGTCTTATGGAATGAGAGAAACTGAATTTCTATACCAGTGAGTTTTATTTACTACACAGTCATTTCTACCTTTTAACATGTCCTCGCAAAACTAGTTTTAAAAAAAAAATCATGAAAATAACATTTTGTTGGTATTAAGTTATATGTATATCCATATTTCATAATATCTTAACATGCTGAAAGTCAACAAAACTATTTTAACAAGTTATATATTTATTAAAAAAGAATAATAAAATGTTCATTTAGACATGATTTATTGACCATAAACACAATTTGAGAATTTTTTTCATTGTAATCAGAATGTAATCAAAAAGTAATCAGGATAACAAGGTATTTTAAAAAGTAATTGATTGAATTGAATTACATGTAATCCGATTTTTGGCTGCTTAATGATTACTTGAAAAATTGTAATCAATTACAGTTGATTAATGATTAAAATTACAATTACCCCAAGCCTGGTCCTGTATCAGGTTAAAGTTGACAAATCAGGGTTTTGACCGCGATTCTGCATTTCTTTATTTTTTATTCCTTAATTAATTTTATAATAAAGTCATGGACATATAAACTTGAAATGTTGCACATATTATCTGTATGATGTGACTTCAAAAAATATATGCCAAATTATGGTTTTACCCAAATTTCGCAATTACTCAAAATGGAAATGTACGTGATAGTATGAAAGGACACTGTATTTTGAGTACCTTTATTATGAAATTTTTGCTATACATAAGGTCCCATTAAAGATATTTTATCTTGTTTACAGATTTTCTTTACCATTACACAGTTGTGGGACTTTGTTTTCATTAAATTGACATTTTTCCGTATTCATTTTAGGCCACCCTTAAAAAATTGTTTGTTTAGCATTGCCGACCCACACTATCAGCAGGTGGGTAGGTAGGTAGGGAAATTTTTTTTTTTTTATATTTAAAAGTTTTATACATGTAAATCATGAAGTCACTAGATCAATGGTGTCTAAAGCACTGCAGCATTGTTGTGTGTACATGCTGATGGTTTCTTTAAAAGGGGTCAACCGTCAATGTCACATTCTACATCATATGGATAATTTCATGTAAGACAGTCAGTTTTATTGGCAGAGTTAACCTAAGTACCCAGAAAAAAACACAGAACTGAGGCAGGAAACTCACAAATTAACCATATAAAATGTATGACGTGAAAATTGAACTTTAATTGTGGGACTGCCCATTGAACAGAGACCTGATGTCACATCTTGAAGTTGTGGTCACAGTTTGGTAAAATTACCATATTTTAAATGGCTCAACCACTACTGCTCCTTGTACAAATAGACAATGATTTAAAACTTTGATTGTTTGCTTTGGTTTTATAAACATCACTTTCTACACCATATGGGTAATTTCATGGCAGTCAGTTTTGTTGGCGTACTAAACTGTAGTACTTGAAGGAAAGTGCCAACCTGCGGGAGGAAACTGACTAACCTTATCACATATGACATGAAAATCAAACCTTAATATTGCAACTGCCCAACTAGGGCTCAAACCAACACCTAGAGGCTAGTAATCATACATGTAAGGTGTGACAAACTACCATACAAACACGCCTACTGCCCCTGATAAGTTTTGAGGATAAAGGATCTGTACCAAATTAGGATAGCAAAATATTAAAAATTTGGAAGGTTGGCACAAATAGACATGGTGTTTATACTAATATTATCCAAGTGCAAGGTTTTTTCAGGGCTTGGTTTAAAACGTATGATGAATTCAAAATGGAAATATGCAGTAGTACAGACAATTTTTGCAGATAAATAAATTATGGGTTGTAATGCTTGTTTGATTAACAGAAATCTGGACATGCATTACATGAATACAGATAAATTAATGAGCCCTTAGAATTGTGGAAAAGGAGGGGATTTTATTCATCACTAGTACACTAGATACATTTATAAATATGTTTCTGTCAGTACCTTTTATGTTTTAAGAATTATCTTATTCATGTTAAGAAGGAAGGCAATAAAGGGGGAAGTACTTCAATTGACACAAGATGCTAGTCTTTAAAATATGTATGTTTTGTACCAGGCTAGCATCTACTGGTACAAAACTAATATAAACCTGTAAATCTGGGACCATTTTGGTCTTTTAGCGTTGGTGCTTTCAGCCATAATTATCTTGAATGCATCATTGTGGTTCTGACTATAATAGATAATTTGTCAATGATAAATTTCAAATATTTAATAAATTCAACAAATGTAAGAGCCACGCTTATTTGTTCTGTGATGTCCCAGTGAAAAGCTTCTATCTCATGAAGCGACAAAGTCAAGCAGACATCAACTGTTTTTGCTTTACAAAAGATAAAATTTGAGTCCTCTACAAGGTCTCTCAGAACGTTTCTTTCAAAGAATAGCTGAAAATTTGATTTTTGATTTCCCTTAACCAATGCATTGCAGCATAGGGAGATGCTTCCCCCTGCCGGCCTATTTGACATTACTTATGGCAGACTTTTTCTATTCCATGTCATTAAAATGTTTGCTCCCAATACAGTGTAAGGCAAGCGCTTTCAAGATCGTGATTTGAAATAAGTAAAGCCAGGAACAAACTCGGCGGATACGATCAAATTCCGGCACAATTTCGATATTTTTTAAATAAAAAAATACAAATTTCTGAAACGCAAATAAAATTATTTGGAAAGCAAGTTTTTCAGTGGGTCGGGCGGCAATTCCAAACAAATGAAATTTTATTTTAGACCTTAACTATAAAAACATTAGTAATAGCTTTTCTAAAAAAGCTAGCCTTCTCTTAGCTGATGAAAGTGGAAAGTGTTCTCGCTTTGTAGATTAATTCATTCAGAATAGCCTTGCATATAAATCAGCAAATTTTACCAAACACGTTATGAAGCAGTATACCGTTCAATGTTGGGTGTCAAATAAGGTCCTTATCGTACTAATCCTTCAAAGCTTAAAATACTGGATTGACATAATCTTTTGTGAGAGACCGTTCTTTTAAAATGCCAACAGTTAGTGCGGTGACGGAATAGGAAGAAGTCAAATATTAAAAGAGTTTAATTTCACTTCATAATTAATACAGCTAAAAATTTAGTCCTAGAAAAATGATTTTACTTGAATTTAAGATTGGTCGTCAAAAAGTTGTATGGTGCAGTTTTTTTTATTTTAGCATTTAGCTAGCAAATTTGACTTCAAATGCAGATCATGGGCTGCATTCAAATATATGTCTTTTTTTTATTTGTTCAAACAAAACACATAATGCTTTATTCATTATGTGAAAAAGATAATTGTAAAAGCCTTTTGATAACAAATTATGAAGGTACAAACTACTGTAAATGGGGACATTTTGTCTTTCACACAGCATACAATAAAGAGCTGATGAATGAATTATATCGTAACTACTAAAAATTAATAAAACTGCAATTTTTCTTTCATATACACAAGTTTTTATGAGGTAAGATTTTTTAAAACGATATTTTTTAAACTTTCAAAAATTTCTACTATTCAATCATTAACTTAAAAAAAATTCCGGAAAGTTGTGCCCCAACCATGATTGGGCTGAATACATAGTTTTCCTCCAAAATTAAGGACTTGATATTACTTGTTTATGTGGATGTTTTATTGTTTCGTTGATTTATTTGGGTGTCTGTAATTTATTTTTTCAGGTTGTGATGATATAGTTTTATTTATTTATTTTTCAGTTGTTTATTTAAGAAATGGGGATCCGACAAAATCCCCAAAGATGACAAAACTGGGAAGTCCGTTGAAAATTGGCTTTAACATTTCAAAGAAGCAAACATTAAGTTTGATCCCTTAAATAGTGCAATTTTCATAAAAGCAGAAGGGGGATAATTGTTTTATTTTACTTACAATCAACCGCGGTATTTTGATAGTCGATAGGTGTAATGATGAAATTTGCCCGAAAGTGCGCGGAGGATTGTGAATTGATAATTCATTTGGAAATTGTTTATTATAAAAGTGGACACTACTGATGCACAAGTCAACATAACATAACAGTGTTTACAGTCCATACTGCAATTGGAAAT